CGGATAGGACTTGGATGTCCTTTATGGAGGGCCAAGCTAGTCTTTCCATGCGCACAGTGCAGCCAAGGACCGCATCCGAGGTGCTCGCCAATTTGGAGAGGGCGTCGGCTCGTGGGACTTGCTGCAGAGAGAAGCATTGGAAGTGGCGGGCTAACTCTTGAACCTTAGCGAGGTATTTAACCATGCTTTGTTCTCTGGGCTCGTACTCACCGTTGACTTGATTCAACACCGGCTGCAAGTCGTTGAGGACTTCGACGTGCTTGGAGCCAAGGTCTCAGATGAGCTGCAACCCCGCCAAGAGGGCATCGTACTCGACTTCATTGTTGGATGCAGGGAACTCGAATCTCATCGCGTACTCTATCACGACATTGTCGAGGGTGAGGAGAATGAGGCCCGCTCCACTCCCCTTGGCATTGGATGAACCGTCGACAAAGAGTTTTCACATGGGGAGGATCTCCTCGACTGGTCATGCTTCTTTTGGTTCATCTTCGCGAGGCTAGCCAAGGGGCCTACTGAAGGTGCTTTCTGCTATGAAGTCAGCCAAGGCTTGCGCTTTGATTACAGTCCTCAGCTAGTACTGTATATCAAACTCCAACAGTTCTATTGCCCATTTAATCAAGCGTCCCAAAGTCTCTAGCTTGGCGAGGATGGCCCTAAGGGGCTGCTGTTTTAGGACCACTATGGAGTGGACTTGGAAATATGGCCTGAGCTTTATGGCTGAGGTGATGAGGGCATAAGCTAGCTTTTCCACTTCGGGGTACCGGGTCTCAGCATCACTGAGGACCTTACTGACGTAGTACACAAGTCTTTGAACTCCGTCATCTTTCACCAGTATAGAGCTGACGGCCTCGTCTTCTGGCTAATATGTACAAATACAAGGTTTCGCCTGACACCGGTCGATCAAGGAGCGGGGGTGAGGTGAGGTACAACTTAAGCTCGTCGAAGGCACACTGACATTCCTCCGTCCACTGGAAATCTTTTGGCTTCTTGATGGCGCGGAAGAAGGGAAGGTAGCAGTCTGCCAATTTCAGCATGAAGCGATTGAGGGTGGCTATTCTGTCGGTGAGCCTCTAAGTCTCCTTCACTGACCGAGGGGGTGCCATGTCTAGTATGGCATGTACCTTGCTCAGGTTAGCTTCAATAACCCTTTGAGTGACGACAAAGCCTAAGAATTTCCCCGAGGTAACGTCGAAGGCACACTTGCTCAGATTGAGCTTCATGTTGAATTTATGCATAGTATCAAAGGTATTGGCCAAGTCCGAGGTGTGCGCTTCGGCCTTCAGGCTCTTCAACACCATGTTGTCTATGTAGAATTCGAAGTTCCTCCCCATATGATTCTTGAAAATCTTGTTGACGAGGCGCTAGTAAGTGGCCCCTGCATTCTTAAGGCCGAAAGACATTACCTTGTAGCAATATGTGCCATGCTCGGTGATGAAAGATGTCTTCTCCTCGTTGTCAGGATGCATCTGGATCTGGTTGTACCCAGAGAAGGCATCCTTGAAGCTAAGTAGTTCATACCCTGCAGTGGTGTCGACGAGGTGGTCTATCCTCAACAAAGGAAAATTGTCCTTCGGGCAGGCTCGGTTAGGGTCTGCGAAGTCAATATAGATCCGTCATTTCCCATTAACTTTCTTTACCAAAACTACATTAGACAACCAGTTAGGGTAATGTACCTCACGGATAAAGCCGACGTCGAGTAGCTTATCAATTTCCTCTCCTATTGCCTTCCATCGCTCTGGTGCAAAGCTCTTCTTCTTTTGTCGAACTGGCTTAGAGCTCAGGTCCATGCTCAGCCTGTGAGTAATGACCGAAAGGTCAATTCCGGGCATGTCAGCGTTAGTTCTAAGGAAACTTACCAGTTCATATAGGCATTCAAGGGGGAGGTTGGACCCGACGCGGACTGTCCTTTCTAGGGCTAACTCATCCAGGAGAACCGAGATGAGGTTCGTGGCTGGTTGGCCTCGGCTCGCTGGTTCTTCTTAGGGCTCGAGGCCTTCTAGTGATAAGGCCTCCTTATTCTTTCCTTTTAGCACCGCCACGTAGCACTGGAGGGCGATCTGTTGGTTCCCACAAATGACTGCCTCTGGTGGAAAACTTGATGGCCAGGTGATAAGAGGACATGGCTGCCTCTGGTGCATGAAGGGTTGGTCTTCCCATTATCACGTAGGGAGAGGCGACCCTCACCACTAGGAACTCATGCATCCAAGTCACCTGGTGTGGCGTTATCCCTACCGTAATGAGCAGGGTGATTTTTCCTTCCGGCCTGGTAACGTTGCTAGAGAAGCCGACGAGGGGAGCGTCAACTGGTTGGAGTCTCTCTAGCGCAAGCTTCATTCTCTCATAGGTGTGGTAGAAAATGATGTCGGCTGATGAGCCGATATCCACCAAGATCTTCTTCACCATAAAATTGGAGATGATGGCTGCGACCACGAGGGCATCGTCGTGGGGGACAGTAACCCCCTCTAAGTCTTTGTCGGTGAAGATGAGGGCATGTGAACATATCGGCCTCTGTGGAGTGTCTGGGTATTTTTGCTTCCTTGGGGCAGGCTCCTGGATGTTGAGCTACCTGGCGTAGGCTTTTCAAGCCGAAGCCGATGCTTCACCCGAGGCCATGCCCCCGGCCGATGACGCCTGCCACTTGTTGGTGCTAGTGTTGCTGCTGTTGCTGGGATGACGAGGCGTCGACCTCTCCTCCGACGAACTGCTTGAGGTATCCTCGGCAAATGAGGGACACTATTTCATTCTTTAGATCGTAGTAGTCCTCAGTGTCATGTTTGGTGTCACGGTAGTACTTGCAGTACTTCGTAGGGTTCCCCCTCTTGGGGTTTCGCTTCAACTTTGTTGGCTACTTCACGAACTTCTCTTCCCTTATCTGCATCAGTATTTGGGTGCGGGTGGAGTTGAGTGGCGTGTAGTCCTTATAGGCCAACGCCGAAGCTAGTGGCTTCTTGCTATCTTTGCCGCCATTGTTGCCGGGGTGGTGCTAGTCCCCACTTTTCCTCTTCTTCTCCGGGGGCCCGTCGTGGCGCTCGGTTGCCCTTTCTTGGTTGTCCTCGGCCGAAGCCTCTTCGACCGCAATGTATTTCTAGGCCTTCTTGAGGAATTCGAGTTTAGTCTTTGGCGGGGTCTTGACAACCAAGCACTTGAGAGCTGAGCCGAGGCGGAGTCCGTTGATGGCTGCGTGCATGGAGACCATAGGGTCGAGGTCTCGAACTTCAAGCTCTTCTTTCTTGAAGCGGTCAATGCAAGACCGCAAACTTTCTCTCGACTCCTATTTGAGCGACATCAGAGAGGCTACGCTCTTATGGCATCGCCTGTTGCTGATGAAGCGGGCGAGGAATAGGGTTGTAAATTGCTCTCACGAACTGATTGATCGAGGAGGGAGGCTAGTGAACCATCGGCGAGCGGCCCCCCTGAAAGTAGCTTGGATGGTCCGACACGTCAAGGCGTAGGAATAGCCGTATAGTATCATGAGCACTCTGAAACCCTCCAGGTGGTCATCGGGGTCGGTGCTTCCGTCGTACATCTCTAGTGTGGGAGCCTTGAAGTGTGGGGGGAGAGGCTCCGAGATGATTTCCTGGGTGAATGCATCCATGTGACTGGCGGAGTTGCCATGACTGGTTGAGGTGTCGGCTAAACTCTCCTTAACTTGGCGGAGCTCGTCCTTAATGACCCCAATCTCGGCTCACAACTCGGCAATCATTGGGTTAGCACGGGCATGGGCCCTGCTCCTATCTTCGCGGACCCGATGGGTGTTAGCTCAGACTCCCGAATACTTCGAGAGAGGGTGGCATGCTCTTCGCGACCGAACTGCCTACCATCATCCTGTGGGGCCTCCCAACGACGGCGGTGGTGGTGCTCCGAAGATTGATGATTGTCTTCGGATTGAGTGGGCGCACTCTCCCTTCAGCTTAGAGGACAGACATTCCTTCGAGGTTAGTCCAGGAGGCGGTTATTGCTTGATTCTGATGGTTCGGCCAGTAGATTGTCGTGGCCGAGGGCTGGTACCTCAATGTTTCTCGCATTGGGCCTGATCCTCTAACACCCCAGCGGGGTGGTCGCCTTGAGAGGGACCTCTTGCTCGGGGGCAGACTTCTTCCATTCGTTGGGTGAGGCGGTCCAAGCGATCAAGGACGGCCTGAAACTATTTGTAGGTAACTAGGTTTGGATTATTCCTGGCTCTCCTCACCATGATTTTCAAGCTTAAAGGGGATTTGGATGTAGAGTATTATTATTATTTATCCTGGAGTGGGAATCGTCTTAGCAACCACAAAATCCCACAAACGACGCCAATTGTTGCCGCACAGGTTGGCCGAGGGCAACAAGGTAAATTCACCCTTCAAGTTTCGAGCGTTATCCGAGGACTCCGAGGCTTTGGAAGAGGTTGACCGAAGCCGAGGACAGCAAACCGAGGTGAAGTACTACTTCCGAGGACTATGGTAGCCGAGTACTGCTAGCCGAGGCGAGGTCCCTGGTGGCCTGAGATACTACAAGATAGGAAGTGTTAGAGACCTTGGAGTGGATACCAGAGGCGGAGGCTTCAACGCTTAAGTCAGTACAAGGTGTGAAGTTGGGGAGAGTGTGAGAGTGCTCTTGGAGAGAGTCCTCGGATGCACCAGATCTCACAGAATTAATGCTAGGTAGATAATGTAGGTGCTGGAAGTAAATGAGTGAGTAAATGTTGGAGTTACTCTGTTCCAACCCCTTTTCAAGGGGCAGTTACCTCTTATTTATACTTGAGCGTATTGGTAGTAGGTGAAGATGAACGCCTCATATGAGAGTTGTACGAGGTCAGGATGCAGGCCCTGGCGATATGCCAAATAGTTATGTGATTGGCTCTGTATGAAGGTATTAGGGCTCTCGCCTATTGTGGCTGACGTTAGCAGAAGTTAGTGGGCCGGGCCTTCTAGCCCCATGTGGGCTGGGCCAACTAACCCACATCAGCACTTAAACCTGAACTTTCAAGGTAAATATGGAATTAGGCTCAAGGATATATTTCTACACAGAATTGGTAGCACCGAAACGACCCCGGCAAAGGCGCGAACGCGGAAATTTTTGCTTTCCAGCGGTCGGGGTCGTTCGCTTGCACCTTCGAACGATTCCTCCAAATGCAGGAAATGTCTCTGACCCTCTCGTCGGCAGCGGGCTAGCTACCTCCATCTCCATGCCGGTTCGAACTTAGAAGGTAGTGGACGAAATTTTATTGCCCATTTTAACCTTTTAAAATTTTTAAAATCCCACCAATGCGCTGCTTTGTTGAATTCCCCACCCCCGAACCCCAGCCCTCTTTTCTAATTCCGTCTCCACCATTGTTGCAGATACATTGATCGGCGCGGCGGTCAAGCGTAAAATACACACTATTTCAGAAGTTGCACTTGCCCTAATTTGATATACAAAGTGCACCTGGCCTACATGGTGTTTCTGGAATGACCTGAACCCGTGAATCTGAACTTGTGGTTTGTTTCCTCTTTCTTTCTTATTGTTTGGTTTTGTCGTGCTTGCTTGTTCCCCTGTTTTGGGGTTTCGTGTATGTGTGTGTTCCGGTGTGGTCTGCTTTCTTTTGTTCCTAAAGTTTTGAGTTGTGCATCTGGTTGGTTCTGGTCTGCTCTGTTTTGTCGCTTTTTTCCTTTAAGGTGTGGTTTTTGACTGTTTGGCTGGCTCTTAACAGTCACTAAGGTCGCCATGAATCTTTTATGTGGGAAATGTCGCGGTGTTGGCTGTGACCGACTGCAAGTCGCAACCCTAGGAATTTTATTTCTACTAAACCGGTAGGTTCCCTATGTATTTGGGAAACAAAAATCTCTGACAATAAAGGCAAGTAAACTGGGTGTGTCCTTGAAAATTTCTAACTATTATTTGGTGTCCCCTGAAGGGTTAGCTGGTGGGCTTGCCCTGTTTTAGAAAAAATGTCATAAGTAACGAACTGTTTGATGCATTCAGCAGGTATGTTACTTTGGTTGTGAAATCATATCCCCTTCATTGGTTATTATGTTTTATTTATGGTGAACCAAAAAACAACAAAGGAAAATTTTCTGGAGTAATTTGATCATGAATTTCATGCAGTTCAATTTGCCTTGTATGTTTAATGGGGATTTGAATATTAGTGAGGTTGATGTGGATCATATTGCTGGTTATTCAAATTATTGTAATTCTAGTGTGAATAGTGTTCTAGTAAATTTAGTTAATCAATTTAATGATATGGAAATTAATGTTACTGGAGGGACATTTACATGGGCCAATGGTAGAACCGGGGTAATTTGTATTAGGAAAAACCTAGATAGTCTTTGTTGAGAAGTTTGGATATGTTCCCCAACGTCAGGCTAATGCCCGTCTGAATGAGGTTTTGACCACAAGCCTATTTACCTCAAAACTAACTCTAGACCTAAACTATCCGGGTTCTTTGAAATGTGGTTTGGGGATCAGAACTATAAAAAAGATTGTTCAAGAAGGGTGGAAATTAAATATAAAGGGATTTCACTTAGCTCTCAAAAAAGGTGTTAAATTAGACACTATCAAGGGGAAGTTAAAAACTTAAAATGGTGGAATGTAAACAAGTTTGGGGATGTAAAATAAAAGCATGGATATTGATAAACAAATGCTGGTTGAGCTTGAGGAAAAAGAGGAGTTTGATCAAATCAAATCTCAAATTAAAGAATCGGTTAAGAAGAAAGAATTATATTTAAAGAATTGTAGGAGAAAAAGTTGGTTAAGAAGAAAGATCACCTAATTAGGTGGGAAGTGGTGATCAAAGGAAGGAATGTGGCGGGTTTGGTTTAGGTAGATTGAAAGAAAAGAATATGGCTCTATTGGGCAAGTGGTTGTGGAGATTTTTGCAAGAAACAAATAAATTGTGGCATAAGGTGGTGGTCATCATTTATGGGCTCTCTGAGAATGGTTGGGATGTTGGAGTATCCAACAGGGTGCCAATATGTCTCCATGGAAAGCTATTTATAAGGTTCTCTTGTACTTTCTTAATTATATCAGGTTTGATCTCAACTCTGGTAATAAAATTAAATTTTGGGAAGATCTATGAGTGGGTGAGGCTCCTTTAAAGGAGTTGTTCCCTTCGTTGTTTACTCTCTCATCTTTCAAAGGCAAACAAATTGGACTTCGTTTCAGGTCTCTTACAAATTCTTGATGGGGTTTTCTTTGATAGGGGGATAGCCACATTTGGTCTAGTCATCCTAAATGGGGTGTTCAGTTGTGCTTCTTTCTTTAAAGGTAGAAGCAAATAGGCTTTGCATACAGTGATTTAAAAGGTGCACTTGGGCGCACAGACGAGGCGCATTTTGCGCTCCCCCTATTTGCTAATGTTGTTCATTCATTCATTGCAATAAAATATCTTCTTAAAAGGCATTGAAAGCTATAAAATCATTATTTTTTATGCGAGAAATAAGAATTTCAGACCCTAACATAGACTTGCTCGGGCTTACCTCGAGGGGCGTGGTACAAAGGCGACTCATAGAATCAAGAATGCAATATGTTTTACTTCACATTTACTACTTGAAGCAATGCAATTAAGGAAAAAAAGAGATTGGGTTTTACGTGCTTGAAAATGCTTTATATGTTTGCTTTTATTTTTAAATTTTCATTTGAATACAATTTACATGTTATGTTTATGTATTTTAATTTTAGATAATAGGTTTTTTAAATCATTTATTTTAAAATTTAAGTTTATATTTTTTATTAACATTATGTTTAATATTTTTTGAATTTTTTGCATTTTTAAAAAAAATTTGGCATTTTTTGAATTTTCTGACTTTTTTTTTGATTTTTTAGCTTTATTTTTTGTAATTTTGTGCCTTTCTTAAAAAGGCGCATGCCTCGCCTTGCGCCTCAGGCGCAAATTGGCCCTTGTGCTTTTTTTGCGCCTTGCGCTTTTAAAACACTGCTTGCATATTAGCTGGAGGAGTCCACCTGTACCCAAACAAGGAAGAGAACGGTGCCAAAAACCATGTATCGGGTATATGAAAGTGAATGATTTAACTTGTAGCAACTTGGGTGAAGGGGACCTTAGGAAAATAGCAGAACATTTCCTTAAAGGAGTGGTTAATAAAATTATGAGCACTCACATTTAAATAAAAAGGGAAGACAAGTTGATTTGGACTGCTACCAGATCTGGTAGATTTTCTGTGGGAAGATATGATCTGAATCAGTTATTAGTTTCCCTGCTCATATTCAATTTTGTATTAATAATCCATGGAAGTTGAAAATTCCACGTAGGATTAAGCTTTTCATGTGAACTTGTGAAGTGTTTTTAGGGGTTTTGTAAGCACTAGAGATTTTCTTTGTAGGGAAGTATCATTGATACCATTGTTCATCCTGTGTGTGAAAATAAGAGCTGGCTCTAACCCAAAAGCTGAAAATGGGGTTTAAGACTGACTTTAACCCAAAAGCTGGCTCTAAACTTCAATCTGAAATTTGATATTGGCTCCACATTTTGAATTAAAATATTAGTTATAATTATAAAAAAAATTAAGATATCAGTTATGCATTTCAAATCTCAAGCTGCACTGTGCATGACTCAAAGCAGGAACTTCAATTAGAAATTGGGTTCAAAATCATAATTCATTAATTTCACTTTACATTTCAGATGGCAGTTATTACTAAGGTTGTCTTTGGTACCATTGTCATTTCTTCATGAAACATTTGGGATTGATCAATAGGAATTGGTGTGAAATATGGGTTGTCATGTCACATAATCAGAAACGTTTTGGGTTGATCTATATAAATTGCTATTGTTATCTAAAATGTCAAATTTCACGTTTCAACTCTAAATGGCAATGATCAGTCCCCAACATGCAATTTTTTGGTTGAAGTGACTCCTTTACGTGATCTGACAGCTCATATATCTCAACAATTTTTATTAATCAACTCTAAATGTTTCATGAAGAAACAACAATAGTACCAAACACAACCTAAATATAATCTTAACAAAGATTACAACAAATAACACAAACAAAACAACAAATAACGTAACGGCAGGAAATGACTGCTTTACAATAGCACAGACAAAACAACGAAAAAAAAAATACAAGTACAGGAAATGAGACATCGGCAACCAAAGTCACCTTATCTCTCATCTCCAGAGGGATTGCTACTGCATAGTGAGGGTTGTCCTCCCCAACATATTTATAGACAGGAAATGTCTGCTTTATTGAAAGCAACAGAAACATGAGGTTACATTGCAGTTAGAAATACAAAATGGAGAAAAAGCTAGGAGACATTGGCAACAGAGCTCACCTTTTTGTCTCTCGTCTTTAGAGGGGCTGCTACAGCATAGTGAGAGAGATGTACTCCCCAATGTATTTATGAACTTCCAGAAAATATGAACAGGCAGAAGATTTAGTAGGGAAACCATGACCTCTTCATCATGCATGTGCACACACTCCACAATCTGCTGAACATTAAACAACCATGATTTCCACACAATGAAGTTAGGATTTCTTGGGTAAGCCATCAAAGGGCAGCAGCAATGCTACTGATTCCATAACTAATACTGTACATACAGAAATCATTGGTTTTAAAAATAAGCTTGTGAATGTGAAGAAGGAGAGACACTTAAATGGAAACTCCACGATTGGAAAAAACACATTTGTTAATGAATACAGCTGTGAATGTGAAGGAGAGACATTTGCTGAAGTCCAGACCAGCAACAGCACATACATGTGAGACGTGAGTAGAAAACGAAGAGCCCCTAGTATATCAAAATCTCATGTCTATCTTTCAACTTCAAGAATGAAAGAAAACAAGGGTATTTCTGTCATCACACAATACCCATTAAAGATAGTATCAATATGTAATGGAATCTCGTTTTTACCCCTGTGGAGAGCAAGAGAGGATAGTTTTCTTCCACAGAAGGTTCCATATCATGATCAGCACTTTTAAAAATAGAATAGAATAGATTTGTCATGCGTTCGGACTAGTATTGGAGTTCTGTAATTGGGAGACAGGATGCTGCTGAGAACGCAGTTCATGCTTTAAATTTTTGTGATGGTATCAGGCTATAAATTCTTGTCCCAGTTTAAAATGTTTTTTTTTTTGATAAATTGTCCCAGTTTAAAATGTTAAGCTCTTGAATTTACCTGTATTGAAGTTAACAACCAGAATTCAGTTTATTGCCTGACTTTATGTTTGATTTTTCTTCTTATTTATTTGGTTGTTTTGCATGAGTGAGCTACAACCATTTTATACCATCTTTTGGATTTTCAGTTAATATAATTTGATTGTTTGAACAAAGAAACTGTTTGATTGTCCATACTGAATTTAGGGTTTTAATCACTTGCCTGGATGACAGGTTTTGGTAGTTTTTGTTTTTGAAGAAGGATGGGAGAAAGGAAAGTACTTAACAAGTATTACCCTCCGGATTTTGATCCTTCCAAGCTGCCCAGGAGGAGACAACCTAAGAATCATCAGATAAAAGTACGTATGATGCTTCCCATGAGTATTCGGTGCAATACTTGTGGGAACTACATTTACAAAGGGACCAAGTTCAATTCGCGGAAAGAAGATGTAATTGGGGAGGTAAGCTTCCTCCTTTGATTTTTGGATTTATGTTTTCCTCTACTTGCAATTTTATGAGAATTGTGCTTTGATGTGAGTAGAAAGTGCAAAACTGCAATCTGATTTGAAACCTGTGATAGAAAAGAAAGAGAAAAGAAGCTTTTGCAGAGAAGAGAAGAAGAGAGAAATTGAAAAGAATGGGAGAAAGCGGAAATCAGATTTGGCTGCCCCTTTCATCATCTTATATGCTCATAAAAAATCTGAACACAATGACAAATATACCCTTAGTAAGTCGACTACTACTAAAGAACATAAGAAAGCACTCTTAACAAAACATAAACTAATGGGCCTTGGACTCAATAACTCTAACTGAACTTTATAAACAAAAACAAGTGATAAATAGACTACTGGAAAAGTTGATGAGAGATTTCTTATGGGAGCCAGGGGAGGAAAGGAAAGATCATAGAGTGAGTTGGGAGTTAGTCTCCAGGTGTAGAGATAAGGGTGGCTTGGGATGGTTGTAGAGGTTTGGAGGGGACAGGGATAAGTTGTGGACCAAGGTAATCTTGAGTATTCATAGACAGACAAATGATGGCTGGGACTCTAGGCTTGTTGCAAGGACTAACATGACCTCTCCTTGGAAATCCATACATGCCATTCTTCCTTCTTTTCTGCAATACATCAAGCATGATCTTTGCTCTGGGAATCAGGTTAAATTTTGGGAACATTTATTGTGGGGGATGTACCCCTGAAAGACCAATTTCCCTCTTTATTCTCCCTCTCTGTTTCAAAGGGATGTCTGTCTAATTTTTTGGTCCCTTCTGAGTCAAATTTTGGGTATGATTGGGATTTGGGTCTTAGGAGAGGCCTTAGGGAGTCAAAATTGGGAACTGTTGTAGACTTAATTCAGATTTTGAATTGGGTGGTTTCTCTTGTGCTTCTTTCTATAAATCCTTGGCACAGCAAACCAACAATTCTATTCAATCTTTTTGATGAATAAATTCTATTCAATCTTTCCCAGTCAAGGAAATATGGGGTGAGCCAATCCCTCCAAGGATTGGAGCTTTTTGTTGGGAGGCATTCTTGGAAAGATGTAACACATGCAATTTACTCCAGAAGAAAAGGCCAAATTGGTGCTTGTCCCCAAATTGGTGCACCCTCTGCAAGGCTAATGGTGAAAGCTCTTACCACTTACTAATTTCTTGTCCTTTTGTTTTTGATATATGGGAATGGTTTATTTCTTTATTTGGTTGCAGGTGGACCCTTCCACCAGATATACGAAGCTTGTTTGCCACTTTTTTCCTTAGATGGCCTAAGAAAAGGGGTAGGGCTATATGGAGGTGTGTGAGGGCTACCATTTGCTGGACTATATGGGAAGAAAGGAGCTCTATGACCTTTTCTGATAAGGAAAGGAACAAAGAAGGCATCATTGAGGTAATAATGGTTAGGGTCGTGCATTAGCTGAAGTCTCTGGGTATGTTTGCTGATGTCTCTACAGTTATGCTACTGAATAGCTGGATGGAAGTGGCGAATTCTGCTCCTTTTTCATCAGTTGCCTCTCCCATATGGTATCCACCAGGCCCAAGATGTGTAAAATTAAATTTTGATGGCAGTAGTGAAAGTAATCCTGGGTCCTCGGGTGTTGGGGGGTGTTCAGAGATGAGAATGGAAAGGTGATTGCTTTGTTTCCAGGCCCCATTGGGAATGGTGGCTCTCTGAGAGCTGAGATATGTGCCTTAATGGAAGGTTTAAGAAAAACAAACGAGCTGAGTATTCATAGACTGATTGTTGAAGGAGACTCAAAGCTGGTTACAGAGGGACAATGGATTGTGGAAATATGCAAATGAGAGAAGCGAGGCTAAATGGCTACCTAGGGGGGTTGGAGGTTTAGTTTCAATGGGTGAAGAGGACTGCAAATGCTTTTGCAGATACATATTGGCGAAACAAGGGGCGGGAAGGGAACAGATGTTTTGGGCTGTATTGTAATCTTCTTTCCTTTTTTCTTTTTTTGGGAGAGTTAAGCCTCTTTACCTCTTCCTGGATTGTTGTAATTTTATTATCCATTAATAAATTGATTTCTGTTATTGATAAAAAAATGTCACAATAAAGCTGTCACCAACCCAGTTCATACAAGAGAAAACACCAGAGTAGACAGCAGAATTCTGGGGTGTCTAACTGAGTGAGTCGATCCACACCCCAAAGAGTTTAAATATATATTAATTATATGTATTTACAAAGGAGCCCTCGAAGGACTAAAGGAGAAAAAGAATCATTACAAATCTGTTTGGTGTTTGAAATTTCCAGGAGAAACTTTTGCTAATTCTAAATGGAAGCAAAGAAGCTAAAATCTTTTGGAGCTGCATTCCATTCGCTGTATGTTGGGAAGTTTGGAAGGAAAGGAATAGATGGGTCTTTGAAGGAAAGGCATGCAACAAAATGAAGATGTGCTTAGGATTTGATAAAAAAATCATGGGCTGGATACTTATCTCACCAGAGTTGAGATGTATCATTCTCTTGAAGAAAAGTTTTGGGAAACACATGAATTGAATGGGTCTTGTGGTTGGTTATGATATTGAATGTAAAAGCTTGAAATAGTTATTTTCTTGTTTGTCTTTCTGTTTCTAGGTTGAAATCTCATCACCCGTTGTTCTTTGATGTAACCTCTTTTCTTCTTAATAAATTTTGTTTTTTTATTTACTTTAAAAAAATGATAAAATTGCCGATTACCCTAATGGACCAATCACCCCAAAGTGTTTGAAATCATGTTACTATTTAGATCTATCATAGAAAATTTACATATTCATGAGAAGAAAAAGAAAGAATAGAAAATTCCAAAAATATAGGGGCTGAGCCTTTGTTTTTGTCCTAGGAAGAGGAAAAAAGAAAGGATGTCGATTGGATATTATCATCATCATGAAGAATGTGTTGATTGGGCAAAATTTAAGTTCTTGCTTACCAGTTTAGGTTTTGAAGTCTTCAAGGGTTCAAGATATCATTGTTATCATCATCATCATCATCGTTGTCATCATCATTGTCATCCAAGCCTTATCCCAATTATATGGGCTTGGCTACGTTGCATTCTGTTCTGTTTAAAGCCACTCATTGTTAAGTTATTGACATTTTATTCATTTCTTACTACTTCTACCCATGTCCTTTTTGGTCTATCCCTAGCCCTTCTAGCACCATGTAGAAAAAAGCTAGGTGGCCCTCTATGGGCAACTTGTTGCTTAGGCATAGACATAATATTGAGGATATTTTCCCATGTAAAGCATACTTAGGAACCCACCCTAACTAGGAATTTGAACATCTGGTTCCTTTCTACAAGCTTCTTGTAGATTGCTGCATCTTTAGAATGTCCCCACTTAACTGTCTCCAAGTAATCTATCTCCTGTCACAATTAGAGGCTAATCTCCCTACTTGAGATTATTAACCTCAAACTAAGCTTGTACACCCTGGCAACATTAAGGGCCTGGGGTTAGTCGCAGATGGGTTATCCTAGATTTCTTTAGTTCTCATCCATAGGTAATTCCTACTCAGGTGTGGTTGAGAATTAATAAACCAAAAATCAAGTTCCTTTATGCCCACTTTCCTTGTCATGGATTTTTAATATTTGGCTCAGCTTTGTTAAATAGCTGAGTTCTGCACACCCTCCTATAGACGTGTAAAGTGGGCCCATTCAAAATAATTATTTCTATCCAGCTTCACAGTAATGATTGCATATTCATTCATTCATATAGCTAGAGTTGCTTACAACCATATTGAGATTAATTCCCTAATTCCTACTTGTAGTCACCTCCTACTGCCTCTATCTGGTGATATCTTGTAAGGACAAAAAAGCCTTTACCCAATGTTGGTCCCTTTTGGGGAGTTTTCTTAATATGAATAGATTTTCTTAAGAACAACAACAATTGTAGTAATAATAATAGCAAAAAAAGTTTCCTTATCTTGTGGGGAGTTTCCTATATGGCCTACTCCATTTTAGCCTCATAGAGGAATCCTGTGGCCAACCAAACTATTCATCAGACTAGGGATTTTCTGGTTTGGTTATGTATTGAATCCTGCAGTAGATATCAGCCCTATTCTAACCTTGGGTTGTAGGTCATAGGTTTGTTAGATTAGTAATACTACTTTAATTTTTCAATTTTTAATTTAAAAGTTCTCCTAAAAGAGGGATCATCTGGAGCATTTTCCAAGGTCTCTTTGACCATTTTTTTTTCCATGAATGTATGATGGGGAGAGGAATAGAGGAACTCCTTTTGAGCCCCAAATTTACATGCCAAATGGAATTTTTGTAGGTCTTTGATCTCCTTCACTAGATCACCTGACTAATTGTAATAATGGTGAAGATGATGCTAATTTCTATCAGAGGTTTGTTCTCTCTCTCTCTCTCTCTATGTTTTGCTATAACTCTTACACTCATCTCATAACTTGTACTCATCTTCTTGGGAATTGAATCAAGTTTTTTGTTTGGTAAAGTTGAATAAATTCTTAACAGTACCAAAAGGTGATTGTGCATTTTGTGCAAAAACGATCTGACATCCAGTATTAGAAAGACAAACTGCTGGATTCACATTACATTATCTCATTAAGGAAAATATTAATTTGTTGCCTTGTTTCTCTCTGTGAATCTCCATTCACTGACCTAGTTTGATTTGTGTTCAATCATTTTCAGACATACTTGGGAATCCAAATATTCAGGTTCTACTTCAAATGCACCAAGTGTTCAGCTGAACTGACAATAAAGACTGATCCACAAAATTCGGACTATGTTGTCGAATCAGGTGCAACTCGAAATTTTGAGCCTTGGCGTGGAGAGGATGAGGTGAACAACTAGCTTATAATATATGATCATTTTTATTTTTTAATAATTTGTGCATATATTCTTCATTGGCTTCTTGAAATCTAGCAACTTGTTTCAAGATTTCATTTTTAATTCTATTTTTTTTTTCATCAGGAAGTGGAAAAGGAGAAGAAAAAAAGGGATGCAGAGGAGATGGGGGATGCAATGAAATCTTTGGAGAATAGAACACTGGATTCAAAAAGAGAAATGGACATACTTGCTGCACTGGATGAAATGAAGTCGATGAAGGTAGCTGGCTGGTTAGGCAATATACTTATTCTCACTAATCCATTTGGTGCTTTAGATACTGAAATAAAGTACTCCATTGCTTTTTCAGTCAAGACATGCAACTGTGAGTGTGGATGCAATGCTCGAGGCCCTGCAACGTACAGCTCAGGAAAAGGTATTCTGCTTTTCTTTTGTTTTTATTTATTTATCTATTTATGATTGGTAACAATTTGGAAGTTTTATTGATTGTGGATAGAGAATACTACTTAAGGTGATTAAAGTTCTAGCTATTAGGATGGCAAAGTTGTAAACCCCTTAATACAATTGTTCCCTCTTAATCCATTGCCTAGCTAGGGGAATCAACTACTCCATTTGCTGATCTATTAACAATACCAATTTGGGCAATAATCCTTAAGTGATAGTTCTCCTCATTCTAGGAATAAAAGCCAAAAAAGGTTGCACTTGCTCCTTTACTAAATAATCCTCTAAGTAGGATTCCTCAAAGACCTTCATTATACCATTTCTTCTTTTTTCCTAACAAGATTGATCGGGTCACATTGAAAATCTTTCTGGACCTAGATGTCACGGGGTGACATAATGGGTTGCTTGGCTAAAGGTTTTCTAGATGTTTCTTGAGGCTCCTAGCCAATTTTGCATGTTTTTGGGCTGTTTTGGAGCGTTCTGGGGTGTTCTGGAGTATTCTCCATGTGCCTAGAAGGGCTAGATGTTGGTGGAACTCTCTAGAACCTTGTGGAACAATCCGGGTTTATGTGGAACACCCTAGAGGGGTTGGGAGTAATTTAGACTTACTCTAGAGTGTTCTTGTATCTTATGGAATGGACATCCCCTAGAAGAGTGTAGAAGGTAGAATGTTCTAGAGGTGCTTCTAGATGATGCCAAGTGTACATAGTTCTAGAGGATTCCTTGAGGGTGTTAGTGTATAAATAGGGGTCCCCTCCTTCGTTTGCAACATGCATCCAAGTTGTAAGAGCATTCTTTGAGTTGTAAGCTTTCTTCTAGTGCAATACAATCTCTTCCTCCTACAGTACTTGGTGTTCTCTTGTGTGCTTTGGTGTGTGCCTTCAGAACTTAAGCAACCTAGGAAGAAGGGTTTTGGGTGTGCAGTTTGGCTGACTTACTTGGAGGGCCAAGTGAATGCCACACGACTTAGCCAACGGGAGCAGTCGGGTTGTGACAAGTGGTATCAAAGCAACTTTGCTAGGGGCGCGTGGGAGTTTGTGCGTGGACAGGATGTCAGATGGATTTGACAATAGCAAGACACACAAGCAGGAGAAGGGCCACTCAAAGAAGACAAGGGAAGCATCAAGAGACGTCCTTGCTGCGTTGGAGGCCAAGATGGCGAGGTTGGAGCTTGCCACGGGAGATATGCAAGACAAGTTCACAGACATGGGTAGTTGAGTTGATGGCTTGGAGGGCAGGCTGGTGGAGCTCAAGGCAACTGAGGAAGAGGTCGTGGATCTTGCCTAGCATGGGGAAGACAAAGAACGGGAAGGGTTGGAAGCCAAGCTGATGGGAAGCCTGGCCAAGGTCCAAGCTAATGTAGACGAGTTGAAGGCAGATGTGGTGCTTTGCAAGAAGTTGTTAGCATGGGATGAGGTGGGGACTCTAGGGACATGCCAAAGTTTAGGGCACTTGAGCCACCTCACTTCAATGGTGCTAGGGATGCACGGGCGTTGGACAACTTCTTATGGCACATGGAGCAGTACTTTGAAGCAAGGTTCAAAGTATTGGCCCGTATCGGTCGATACGTATCATTTCGGGAGCTCCCCAATATGCCCCTACAAAGGGTGTATCGGTGTTATGACCAGTTCAGGGGGTGGAGGAGCCTTAAACCGCCCCCCTGAACCGGTTTTGAAATAAAAAATAAAAAAAGTAAAAAAAAACACTATCGATATCGCCCGATACGCTCTTGGCGGTGTATCGGGCGTATCGATATTTAGAACCTTGCTTTGAAGCATGCACATAAGGGATGAGCAGGCCAAGGTACGTGTTGCCACTATGTACTTAACCGATACAATTGTCTTGTGGTGGAGGTAGTGCTATGCAGACATGGAGAAGGGGCAGTGTCACATTGACACATGGGATGAGTTCAAGTGGGACATCAAGAGCCAATTCTATTCGGGGAACGTAGAGTACTTGGCGTAATGCAACTTGAGGAAGTTGAAGCATACTGGGTCGATTAGGGACTATGTACGAGAGTTCTCCACACTCATGCTTGAGATACCYGACATGGATGACAAGGAGTTGTTGTTCAACTTCATGGGTGGACTCCAGCCGTGGGCGGAAATTGAGCTATAACGGAGGGGTGTGCAGGATCTAGCCACTGCCATGGCCGAGGCGGAGAAGTTGGGGGAGAGCAACATGGGTAGCTCAATGGAGCCCAAGTCTGCAAGGGGTGGCCACGGCATAAGTAGGGGAGATCACCACGGCTAGAGGAACGACCAGGGCATGTAGAGTGATTACTAGGGCAAGGGGGCCTAGACCAAAGTTCAGAACGACAAGACCAATCCACCTAAGTCAAGGGATAAGGGCAAGGCAAAGCTGAGTTGCTTCACTTGTGAAGGGGACCACCATGCTCGTGATTGTCCGCAACGTATGGTGCTTAGTGCACTAGTGGCATAGATGGGGCAGCAGGAAGACAGCCATGAGGAGGCCAAGATTGGGTCACTATAGTTACTTTGCAGTGTTAAGAAGCTGGAGGGGCCGGCTAAGGGGGCAACCAAGACCATAGCTGGGTCAAGGTTGATGTATGTGGAGGCATTGATCAATGGTGAGAAGACCCAGGCCATGATTGACGTAGGGGGTGACTCACAACTTTGTCTCAACTGGGGAGGCAAAGCGCTTGTGCTTAAAGATCACAAAGAGCACGAGCATGATCAAGACAGTTAATTCCCAAGCACGTGAGATCGAGGGCATTGCTCAGGGGGTGAGCATCCAGGTATGGAGTTGGCAGGGTGTCATAGATGTGACCGTGGTGCCAATGGATGACTACTAGATGATATTAGGTATGGACTTCTTCAACAATGTGCGGGCTATGCCCATATCATATGCGTGGATGTTGTGCATCATGGAGGCAGGGACCTCATGCATGGTCCCTTTGGTGGATGGGACATGTGCAACAGTGAAGAAGTTATCAGCCCTACAACTGGGCATGGGGCAAGGCCATGGGGGCCAATCTAGTCTAGGGGTGGACAAGCAACCAAGGGCAGCACAACACGACAAGAAGGTCCAAGGCAAGGACAAAGTCGTGTATGCAGGCACAAGTCGAGGCAAAGGCCGAGGCAAGGACATTGGTAGGGGCCAGGCAACTGATCAAGGTTGGAGCAAATGGGTGGCTATAGCAACAATGCAGGCCACATATCCAAAGGGCAGGGAACCTGAAAAGATTATTGCTAAAACCATGGCCACTTTTACTTTGGTAACTCCATGGGTGGAGTACGCAGTCAAGTGGAAGGGGTTGCCTGCATCAGAAGCATCGTATGTACGAGTGGACAAGTTGATTGTGTCCAGCCATGAGGACTTGATCAGGCAATGGGATGCACAAGCCAATTGAGTGCAACGAGGGCGTTGCACAATCAGGTGGGGGAGAATGTCACGGGGTGACATAATGGGTTGCTTGGCTAGAGGTTTTCTAGGTGTTTCTTGAGGCTCCTAGCCAATTCTGCATGTTTCTGGGGTGTTCTGGAGTGTTCTCCATGTGCCTAGAAGGGGCTAGATGTTGGTGGAACTCTCTAAAACCTTGTGGAACAATCCGGGTTTGTGTGGAACACCCTAGAGGGGTTGGGAGTAATCTAGACTTACTCTAGAGTGTTCTTGTATCTTATGGAATGGGCATCCCCTAGAAGAGTGTAGAAGGTAGAATGCTCTAGAGGTGTTTCTAGATGATGCCAAGTGTACATAGTTCTAGAGGATTCCTTGAGGGGGTTAGTGTACAAATAGGGGTCCCCTCCTTCATTTGCTACAGGTATCCAAGTTGTAAGAGCATTTTTTGAATTGTAAGCTTTCTTCTAGTGCAACCACCTCTGATGAGGTTGGAGAATGACCATCCACTACTCAGCCTAGTAAAGCCGATGCTATGAATGTATAGACGGAATAGATCAATCAATCTCTTTTCTCATGTTTATGATTACAACCCCCTTTTCTCCAAACACATCTATGTTCGTATCTTGTGACTGTACCACTACTAAAATGTAATGAAAGTATCTATGCATCGGTTGAATATTGACTAAATCATGTCACTCCGAATGAAGATGAACAAATATCCTCTATCCACTTCTTATACACTCTTTTCCTTGCCCCATATGAAGATGAGGCCATAACTTCATATTTCTAGGAATACCAAGTGAAAACATCGTTATATAAAGACTTGAGGTCCCTTTTCTCCAAACGTAGATTCCAACATATTAGTCTTTTCTTGTAGACTTGGTTAATTAGGGATAGTGAGCAATGGGATAGGGAGAGAGAGGGTGAGGGAGAGAGCAATGGGACTCAACGACTGCAAGTGCTCTGAGGTGGGTGTGAAGTTTTCTTCTAGACTAAGATCCTTCTCATAAATCTCTTATGTATCCTAATTCCTCACATAACTCATTCCTTTCTCTATATGTTTTCATCTTCATCCCATATACGTTCACTCGAACCCATTTAGGTTTTCTTCTAGACTTCAATTTTAGAGAGATTGTTAAATTGGTCATCCTGTGTAAAGCTTGTGGTGAAACCCTCCCTTACTATTCTCTTGATCCTTTGATTCTTATATTTGGGAATACTTCTGCTCTCTCTTTGGTTGCAAATGGGCCTCCCCCAGAGGATGTAGTGAGTTTGTTCATCGCAAATTTCCCGAGGCAATAGAAAAAAAAGGGGAAGATGTATGTGGAAGGTGGTAAGAGCAGCCTTGGTATGTGTAGTGAGTTTGTTCATCGCAAATTTCCCGAGGCAATAGAAAAAAAAGGGGAAGATGTATGTGGAAGGTGGTAAGAGCAGCCTTGGTATGGTCTATCTGGGAAGAAAGAAATCAAAAGATCTTCAATGAATTTTATGTCAAGGGAGGAAGTGATCGAAGTCATAAAGATCAGATCTGTACATTGGATTAGAACTTTAAACCTCTTCAGAAATATTTCTACAGGCGATATATTAAGGAATTGGAGGGAAGTGGCACAATACTCAGGAAAAATGAAAGAATGGATTGGAAACCACCAGACCAAATCAGCTAAATCTGAACTTTGATGGTAGCTCTTTTGGCGATCAGAGGAGAGCTGGGATTAGGGAAGTTCTTTATAATCATCAAGAAGAAGTAGTGGCACTGTATTTGGGACCAATTGGTTTTGGTGACTCAATTCGGGCTGAAACTTAGGCTCTCCTACAAGGCTTGAAACGTGCCAGCAATATGGAGAAACAGAACTAGAAATTGAAGGGGATTCACTATTAGTTTTAACTTGGGCAAAGCAAATTGACTCAGCACCTTGGAAATTCAGGTTCATCTTCAGAAATTGATTTAATTGCTAAAAAAATTCAGTTCCAGCTTAGGTTGGGTTAAAAGGGAGCAAATAGCTTGGCAGCTACTTTAGCAAAGCAGGGGGCTGATAGACCCACATTATTTTGGGCAACTTTGTAATATGTTGTAGCATGGGTCTTTTAAAGATGACTTGCTTTGTATCTTTATAGTAACTTTATAATTAAATAAAGGAATTTACTTACTGATCCAAAAAAAGTCTAAACACAATTTTATCAGTATCCCACTTGATTAACATTCCTCTTAAAGCTCCCCAAGTCAGTATATAGACCCAATTGTTTTTTCTTTTGATCAGTAGACCAAATCCTTCTTTGTTGCTACCCAAATACTTCCACCCCATGTTGAACTAAAGATCACAATTTAGTCTCCTGCATAAGTTAAAAAATGGCATTGCAAGAAGTTATGCATTATCCAACTAAAGCAAATTTGAGCTAGAACTAAAGAGAAATTACCATGTTGAATCTAAAGATGACAACTTCTCTAAAAGTCCCATTTTGAAGCAGGTAAACATGAATCTGAGGAAGAGTTTGAGAGAAAAAAGTCATTTATGTGAGGTTGTGGGAGGAATTATAAGGTGCAGCAGCATAATGTGGGTTATACTAATTTTATAACTCAGATCATTTGGAGGACCTGAACCTGTCCTCTCAAACTGTTCAAAGATTAGTCCAATCTTTGAATATTGATTTGACTTTATTGTAACTTTCATGGTTCGACTTTAACTTCTGCAGAATGAGGAACTCAGCCCTATCAAGTTTGAGTAATTGCAATGCCATTAAAATCTTGAATTGTAGATCTCCTTCATTGAGGAAACTATTTTCTGCCACCAACTCTCAGTCTACCTGGCAGCAGTGCTTTGAGTGTTATGGGAGGAGAGAAATCTGAGAAGTTTTGAAGAAAAGAAAAGGTGCCAGGAAATACTGATAGAAGGGATCATGATAAAAGTGATCTCGTGGGTAAAATCTTTGGGATTATTCTCAATCTCAGATTTTACTGCAGGTGATATACTCAGAAATTGGAAGACAGTAGCATCCTCGTCATCAGCAAAGGTCTTAAGAAACTGGGACCCCCCTGAGTCTGGTTTCCTCAAATTAAACTTTGATGGGAGCAGCTTTGGTAACCTGGGTATCTGGAATTGGAGGGGTGATAAGACTCACTGTGTGGTGGGGCTGTATTCAGGCCCTATTGGATGGGGAGACTCCATTACAGCTGAACTAAAGGCAGTGGTTTTTGGGATACAAAAAGCTATAGAATTAGGAGTGAGAAAGCTGGTTGTAGAAGGCGACTCCAGAGTAATTATAAGCTGGCTAAAGCAGAATGAAAAGACTCCCTGATTGTTCAGAAATGAAATCAAGAAGCTTAATCACCTAGCCAAGGACATGCAGTTATTAATTCAGTGGACTCCAAGAGCAGCAAATGGTTCTGCAGAACAGCTAGCGAAGCAAGGGGTTAACAGGAACATTGTTTTTGGGCTCAGTTGTTAGGCTGGAAATCAAAAGTTAACAAGTGGCAAAGTTTAAATGCTAGTGGGGTAGTCAAGGCTACTCAGCTTCTGTACTGTTTCTCGTTTTAATTTTCTTAATGAAATTGCCATTACTGATAAAAAAAAATGCAGATATTAATAAAAAAACATGCTTCAAGAGTTCTTATTAATGTACCATCTTGGAGGAGAGTAGTTGTTTATTTCTCAGAAATGAGTTTATTCTCTTGGAAGGCCATGGATGTCTTGATATTATCTTAGAGAGGCTAGACATCTGGAATCTACAGTGAACATTTCATTTGAATGGATTAGTGTAGCGACAGGATGATAGCTATTTTATTTTCATATATCTGATATTTCTTGGATTTCTTCTTTGGGCTAAGTTTGGTTTGATAGCATATATGAGAGAAAGAGAAAGTTGAGGGGAAGTTCTTAAGAAATTTGTGAAATTCCTTGAAGACTTTCCCTCAATTTTCTGTTTCTCTCTTATTTTCTATCATATCAAACACAGCCTTGAGGCTTGCATTCTGGTTTCTCCATTGTTGTATAAACTAGATGTTTGTGTCTTCTGACAGCTTTGATTACATATTGGTAAATTTCTTTGATCTGGTTATAGATAAAAATTGTGGCCTTTCAACCATTAATTATATTTTTCAAGTTCTGACTTTGTTGAAATATCTATTTGCCTGGCAGGAGAAGAAACTGGAAGAAGAGGATGAAGCACTTATAAGGTCAATTGTTTTCCAAGTTGGTATACGACATCCCTACAGATTATAGATTTATATCATTTTACAGCTAGGAGTCTTTATTTATTTACTTTCAATAACCAGGAATCCTATAGTTTCTAATTTAAATTTTGACACAGGGTTCAAGAATTTTTGTTCAAAGAATTCATGATGAGGATGAAGATGTGGATGATGACAACAATTTAAATCTGCTTTCAACTGATACTGGTGCACAAAATGATTCCAAAGTATGATTTTCCCCTGATTGTATTGTATTCCTTTTATTTTAACAGAGATTGGTGCAAACATGGCACATGTTTATGAAAACTTATGACAAATCAATGCCTTTTTTTCCTGCACTTCCATGGTAGGATTTCTTTAAATTTGTATTATAAATTGGGTCTTTTTGATGGGAATTAACTTAAGGCATATTAAAGCTAACCAAAGCTTCTCCTATGCTTATTTGGCATCATTACAATGACATGAGGCCCACATGGGAGATGGGTTAGCAGTGTATCAACTCGGGAGGATCCTAGAGTTTTCAATCACCTTAAGATGTCCTTTGTGTGGTTGAGTTTGTTGCTGGAAAGGATGTATTTGACTTTCTTACATTTTTGGACAGCAAGGGTGTTTTTTTGTAATTTTGCATGTTTAGGGGGTTATGTTTGGGGACAGGTCTTACCCTAGTTATTTCCCTTTGTTTGGCTTTATGTTCGTAATTGTTTGGGGAAAGTTTAATCTAATCTAGCTTCTTTTTGTACATGGCTTGTTGGGCAAGCTAACTTGGGGGGCAAGTTTCTTCCTTTGGAATCTTCTTTCTTATTAAGCTTGTAAGGCTCATTTGAAGAACAATTTTTTTGGCTAATGAACAAAGAAAATTTCTCTGCAGAATTTGGTGTGAATGCCAAGTTGGGGGTGATTTCCTAGGGTTTTGATCTTGTTTCCATCTATTCTATTCTCCTCTTCTTTCTTTTGCTAGTTCTTTGCTTTGTGCTACACATCTAAACCCAAGTTGGTTGCAAAAATAGTGCTGAATCACAAAGATCTTGCATCCCTTTTTCTCCAAACAGAAATTAACTTAATTGGAATAAAATTTGATTACCCTATTTCCTCTTTCCTATTCACTTTGGTTATTGAGATTCTAAGTAGATTGATCATTAGGGCAGATTTGGACAACCTGATTAGGGGTTGGAGGGTAGGTAGAAATGAGGTGGTTATAACCCATTTACAAATTGCAGATGATATAATCATTTTCTGTGATGGGAGTGATGAAAGTGATTTGAGGAGATTAAAGGATCTAGTCAATACCTGTTATTGATAGAAAAAAGGATCCAGTCAATACCTTTTATAGGATCTCTAACTTAATGGTGAATTGGGGAAAAGTTGTGTAGCCAGAATCAACTTGGGAGAGGAAGACGTTTAAGTATTGGTAGGAACCCTAGGTTGTGACTTTTGAGGTTAAAGATTGGCCACTAGAATAAGGGGCATATTCCGAGAACAGAAGGTTTCTAAAAACTTGTTTCAATGGGAGGGAGAATTACCCTAATGTCTACACCAGCCAATTTGCCCTTTTGCTACCTATCCACATTTTGCTTTTTAGTTAAAATGGCTAGGCAGTTAGAAAAGTGCACAAGTGACTTATCATTGGATCCTAGTGATCAAAGGAAAGACCATTTAGTGAAGTGGGAATAGGTGTGTAAATCCAAGGAACAAGGTGGGCTAGGTATTGGGAACTTGATCCTAGCAGACATAGCTTTGTTAGATAAGTGGTTGTGGAGATTTCCCCTAGAAGGTGATAAGCTATGGCTTAGGGTCATTGAAGCATTCATGGTTTATCAGAAAATGGCTGGGATGCAAAGGTGGGGCTCTTCATTCCTCCAAATCTCTCCCTGGAAATCAATGCAAGAGGCACTCCCAACTTTTCCTAATTTCACTCGCTTTGGTGTGGGGGGTGTGGGAAATAAGGTTTTTTTTTTTTTGGGAGGATTTGTGGATTGGTGATTTTCTCCTCAAATTACAATTCCCTTTGCTTTACACTCTGTCCAAATACAAATTTGAACACATTCAAAATTTTGTGCAACCTCCCTTTTTGGGATAAAGTGGGATTTTGGCTTTAGAAGGAGCTGGAGGGATAATGGGTATGGCTCCCCTGTTCTCTTACCAACCAAGTTGGAAACGGTCTTCCTAGATCAAAGTTTGAATGACAATAGAATTTGATGTCCTTTCACTCCTTTCTGACTTCTTGAGGGTGAACATCCCGGTTAAAGAGATTTGGAGCCTATTCCTCCTATGGTTAAAGCTTTGTGCTGGGAAGTGTTCCTTGGAAAAATTAATACCTATGAATGTTGTAGAAAAGGGGGGCTAATTTGTGCTTCTCTCCTTAAGTGTGTTTACTATGCAAAGCTTGTGGTGAGACCATTGCTCATTTACTAATCTCTTGCCCTTTTTTGTCTTGTATTTAGGAATATTTTTCTTCTCTCTTTGATTGCAAATGTGTCTCCCTGCAAGATGTGGTAAGTCTATGTCTATTCAATTCCAACCTTTTGAGGTAGCCAAAAAGGGGGGAGAATTATGTGGAGGATAGTAACTTAGCAAGCACAGCGCTGATGTGGTCTATTTGGGAATCCAGGGAGGAGGGCACACATAGAGGGTGTATTCAGGAATCCAGGGAGGAGGGCACACATAGAGGCAATTTAATTTAGCACCTTGGACTCAGAGACATGCATTTAGGGCTACCTAGCAAGGGAACTCAATACCATCTTCAGCTGGATTGGAAGAAACACAAATGGGATGGAAGATGTACTAGAAAAACAGGGGGTTGATAGACATCATTTGTTTTGGGCAAATTTGTGACTTCACATTTGGGGTTTGGTTGGAGTGCTCCAACAGCTGTACTAAATTTTAGCTTCAGTTTTAATTAATGAATCCATTTTACTGATTAAAAAAAAAAACTCTTGAAGTTTTCTGGCCCATAGTTGAAGCCTCACTACAAGGGAAGTGTAATTGGAAAATCAATTTCTGCTGGTTTTGTCAATTGGATCATGATAGCAATTTGTATTGATTCTTTGGTTCATTGCACTGTCACTCCCCTCATTATCTCTGGTATTATTCTAACTGTCAACTATTGCAGTGGGACAAAAGATGAGTATTTATATCAGTATTGCAATATAAGTTGGAATCAATATGCAGTTTGAGAAGAAGAAGAAGAAGAGAAGGTATATCAAGAAAATGGCAAGAGTTTAAGAAGAAAAAAGATGAGCATTCTGCATATTTTGTGGAGTGAAGATGGGAAATTATAAGAGTATTTAAAGATAATTCTCTGGCCTTGTGTGAAATAGCACTAGAGGAGTATTCCAAGATAGTTCAAGTGCCATATTCATTGCATTCTTTGTCCTTGGATTGGCTCATTCAAGGTGCAATCATCCAACTCCCCGGTGTTGGAGAGAGTATTCGTGATAGTTGATTCTCTTGCTAGTTTTAATGGTATAGTTGTAATTATGGTGAGACATCTGCATGTGTGTATGCATAAATCCATGCATAAAGATAAAAGTTGCACATTGGGTAAAGACAGTGGAAATCTTTTAGGTTTTCTGTGTGAATGAATTAATAAGAGCTTGGATGAAGGTGGCACACTCCTTAAAGGAAAAGACAGGATAATTATGGAATGGGAACTGGCAGAAGTTAACTAGTTAAAACTGAACTTTGATGGGATTTCTATGGGAATTCAGGATTGGCAGGAATAGGTGGGGTCTTCAGGAACTTTAAAAGCAGGTGGTGGCTTTTTATTCAGGGCCTATTGGAGTAGGAAATTCTTTGAAATCTGTATTGATGGCATTGTTGCAATGCCTATGATTAGCAAAACAAGTTTCTGATAGTTGGAGATGGGAGGGGACTCAAAAGTTAATTGTCTCATGGGCAAAGTGCAGCAGTCATGTTCCCTGTACATTTAGGCATGCTTTTAGGGAAGTGGAAAGTATCTCAAAGGACTTTACATGTTGAATTGAAGTGGGTGAAAAGAACTGCAAATGGGATGGCTGTGATACCCTAGATAAACAGGGGGTCATGAGACAGCAACTATTTTGGGTATCATTGTCAACTTCTTGTTCTTGGGTTGGTGGTTTTTCCATCATAATGTTTTAATCTCATTTTTCTGACCAAAAAGAAAATGTTTATGTGAAATTTTATGGAAAGAATTACTCTTCATCTATAACTAATTAAATCTCCTTTGATCATTTTAGAAGTTATCTATTATAATATCATATTTTCTATTTACTTTGCAGCCATTCAGCTTTTCTGAGTGTTTTCTGATCTTAAATTTCTTTTTTTTATGCTCTTTAAATATAGTTTTTGTAATATTTAGTCCATCCATTCATAATGTAAAATTCCACTTAGTGGTATTGATCTATGCATTCACCATCTCACTAACTCATGAATCGGTGCAGAGAAGGAAAGTTTCAGAAGAACCTTCGGGAAAACCAACAGATTCATTAACAAAAGGCAGTATTTATGACAGCTCAAATGGTAGAGGTAGGTTTTGTAATTTTTCTTTTTTTTTTTTTAAATATATCTTTTGGGTAATGAGTGTTGTTTGGTGAGGGGCATTTTTGTCCTCTTATATTTATGTTAATGAAGGGCTTGCCAGTGTTTTAAAAGCGCAAGGCGCAAGGCGAGGCATGCAGCTGCGCACCTTTTTGAAGCAAGGCACAAAAAAAAACAAAAAAAAATTGCTAAAAATTAAAAAAATGCAAAAAAAAAGAAAAAAATTAAACATAATATTAATAAGGAATATAAACTTAAACATAATATCAATCAGTATATGCATGAACATCTTCTTCCTCATCTTGTAATTGTTGATAGGATATTGTGTTATTTGAAAGGCACTCCTGGTAAGGGGATATTGTATAGTTCTCATGGACACCTCAAGGTTGAAGCTTACGTAGATGCAAATTGGACTGGATGCATTGATGACAAAAGATCTACATCTAGTTACTGGACATTTGTTAGAGGAAATATTGTTTCTTGGAGAAGCAAAAAACAATCAGTTGCAAGATCAAGTGCAGAAGTTGAGTATAGAGTTATGGCTCATGGGGTCTCTAAATTGCTATGGTTGAGGACTCTCTTGTTAGAATTAAGAGTTGTTTTTTTTTTTTTTAATCATCCTATGAAATTATTCTATGGCAACCAGGCAGCCATCTATATCACAAATAACCCAGTTCAACATGACTGCACAAAGCATATAGAAGTCGATAAACATTTTCTTTATGAAAGAGTAATTAGTGGGGAGATATGTCTACCTTCAGTGAAATCTGGTGATCAGTTGGTAGATATTGTTTGGCTAATGGATTACCCAAACCAAAGATAGAAGAAAATCTTGTGAAGCTAGGCATATCCAACAATTGTACCTAGCTTGAGAGGGGAGTGTTGTGTGTGCCAGGGGCATTTTTGTCCTCTTATATTTATGTTAATGAAGGGCTTGATTGTAATTTTTGTATTATGGTATAAATATTATGGAAAGGGGGACATGACCCCATCTTTTGACACTTCAGATCAACAACTCTTCTTTTCTTTCATCTTTCTTTCTCTTCCTTTCTCTTACCTTTTACAGCAACAAAGATTACTGAGACCATACTTAATGGCTTGAAACCATGTAATCTGTTAGAATGTAGTTTATAAACCACAGCTCCTTGCTTGATATGCTGCAATTATTGTCATATTTCAGTTTTCTGTAGTTTTAGATCATTGTCCTGAAACTTGGCTTGGATGTTTAATTCCCCAACCTAAAAATCATTTATATGCCCAGTGCCCATTAACATGTTGACTCAATTTAATATGTTCTCATTTTGAATAATTTAATATGTTCTCATTTGAATTGCATCTCCACCGGGCAAATAACAAAGTTCCAGATATCTTTCATTTTGTAACAAATTTGTTTTGTCTATTTGATTCATAGCAGAAACAATTGGTAGTGCTGGTACTCGTAAGGAAGGTAACTTTATCTTCACATCTTCATCAGTCAGAGTTTCTGTTGTTAAAAAGCCTCTTCCCACTTCAAATGCAAGTCAAGTAAAACAAGAAGAAAATAAGCAAGAGGAACCCAAAACCATTGCTTCCAGTGGGAATCCAATAAAAGAAGAGAGCAAGCATGTAGAAGAACCCAAAACCGGTGATACAAGCACTGGACTTCAAACATTATGCCAAAATTATGACTCTGGTGATAGTGATTAGTGTTTTTCTTTTCTTATCTTCCCTTTTTGTTCTTTTGCAAAACGGAAAGCGTCTTTGTTACCGTAGATAAAACATTACAAACTGATTAGATGGTCCATTTGAGTCAATAGCTTTTGCAAAAGGACTTCAAACATATGGTTTTACCACATGGGCCATTTGGTAACTTTGTAATGGATATTATTACCAAAACAATGTATAAAATTCTAAAGACAGTTCCAATGGAGCTGTTCAATCCATGAGTTAGGCTTCAAATTATCTGTATTTATCTTGATTAGTTGTGCTAAATATGTATAGACCTGAAGCTGCCTGCTATTCAAAAAAGAAGCTGATTTCAGACCTGCTATTTGAGCTTGGATGTGAGCATCATAGCTATTTTGAGCCCAGCATCTTGAACCACGTGCTTTGAGAACTCTGTTGAAGGAAAGCACATCCTGCATGACCTGTGTTTGAATCATAGGAACGATCTACATATAGGTTAGTATGTTTAGATAAACAGGTTTCAAAAGATGTTGAGGAACATTGAAAATTTGATGATGTTTGAGTGTGAAGCTGCTTTCTTGTAGGCAAATTAGATGAAATTCTATGTTCCTTAGAAAATATAAAGAGTACTCTCTCTTCCTTGCTTGTGTTGTGTTCCAAAGAGGATAACCAAGTGTTGATCTGGTGTAAGGGCCATCCTTCAATTCTATCTGGATTGACACCAATTTAAAGGTAACACCAGATCGCTCTTGCACATGGGCAAGAGAAAATTAGATGATGCAGGGTTTTCGCTTCTTGTTCATAGATGCATTTGATGCATGTCTTTAAATGCACTACTTTCCCAAATGGCTTTCTAGACGAAAACTTATCTCTATGGCACCTTCATTTTCCAGATGAATGACCACTTGAACGAATTGCATTACTACAGAATTGATATAAACTCGATATGCTGATTTGACTGTGCAGAAACCACCAGTATTATTCCCTTTACACAGTAATTTGTCTGAGGGTAAATCTGGATGAAGATGCATCACTGTTATGGAGCGGGTTGGAGGCAATCCACTTGGTAATGATGGTATCTATTGATCATGGAAAACCGAAATACTGCGACCACCTTTGATTAGCCAAAATAAATTTTGCTCGAGCTCATTTAGGATGCCACGAGCTTGTTTCCACCAAATAGAATTTGAGGATTTAACTTTTAGATTAGAGCAAACTTGTATTAAGAAAATACATGGACTTGCTCTTTGGGCCCGAATATTATCTGAATTAGTCAATAATCTTAATATTTGCTCATTGATTATCCATAGCAAAATTTTGCCTGAAACCAATATCACCTCGGTTTTTTGGGAGGCATAGCTTGTTCCAATGTGTAAAATGGACCGAGCCACCTGTGGGTCAGCAATGCCTGGCGTTGACGTGGGCCATGCTTGGCATGACCCACATGCTATAGTACCGGGATGGGCTGGGCCTAGGGGTTCACACCTACATGCCTGGCATGACACAGGCAGGCACACAGCTCGAATCTAGTATGTGTTCCAGCCTGTGGACCAATCATTATATAACGGCTAGTTTTAGTCTTTGGGGCTCCAAAAATGACATGCCACCAATTGTTATAAACAGTTAGTTTGGTGAGGACATTTCTTTTTTTAGCCTTGGGGCTGAAAATGACTTAAATGCCTCCTCAATAACTATAAACGAGTTTGTGTGGTATTTTTGTATTTAGCCTTAGGAGGGTGATAATGACTTGAATGCCCCCTCAACAGTTATAAACAACTAGTTTGAAGGGCATTTAGTTAAGTGATAAATAAACTTTATAAAAGATCAAAGTACCCCTTTTAATAACTATAGACTAGTTTAGGAGGGTATTTTGATCAATTTAGTATTTTCCAATTCCTATGAATATACCCTTACCCTTTTTCATTTGTATCACAATAACAATCAATCTCTTGCATAGTTTCTAACTCAATATTTCTCAACTTTCTTTCAAGTTTTAACAAAGCCATTCAAGTGTCTCAAGTTGGCAATTTCGAAAAATTTTCATCTATTGAAATCAAATTGGGATATTATACTGAATTAATTTTCAGGTTTTAATATCTTACATTTATTGAAATAGCAGGTCCTTACTAAACATCCTTCTCCTATGGCCACAGCTTCAATGTAGCCCAATTCCAATGTGATAGTATCAATGTTGGTGTTAGTGCTACTGATATTAGTCTTAGTGGTTATAGGAGAATTAAGAGAAAACTAGTGATTTATGGCCTTACTTTACAATACAATTTGAGAGGAAGGGTACAAGAGTAGTATGTAAAAAAATGTAAAATGGATTTTAGTTACCAAACTACCAAAGCAATGGTGGCACTAGACATCCAAGAAAACACATACAACAAAATTATTCAACTCAAACATAAGATTGCACACACATCTACTTCATTTGGTAATTTTCAATATTTACAAGAAAATATGAAACAATCACTAGCTAGATATGTTATACATGCTCAACAACCATTTTTATATTTTGTAGATTAAGGATTTGGAAATCTTTTACAATCATCTATAAACCTTGCTTCTAAAAATGTTTCTAGAAATATCTCAAGAATGGATGCTCATAGCATTTTTTTTTCATATAAACAAAATTTAAGTTCTACTTTTTCAACTCTTCTAAAATTTCACTTTAGCTATCTGAACCAACCTAATAGTATTATTAACAATAAAATCATTTCTTGCCTTCTAGACAAAATTAAAAACAATAGACCAACACAAAAGGTTATCTATCTCGCTAGCTCCTTGAGAAGAATTACTCATTTCCAGCAAAAACTCAACAAACAAATTAAGATGAAAGGAATTAACTCTTGCACCCAATGGAGAACCAAACAACACAGCCTTAACAAAAGGGCAAAAAGTAAAAACAAAACAAGTGTGAAATAAGCTCCTCATGTTCTCTACAAAGGAAACATATAGCATCCATATTAAGACCCAACTCCACTAATCTGCTTGACTTAGTGTAAACAAAATTCCTAACCAATCATCACAAAAATAACCTAAACATGGGAGGCATCTTTAGTTTCCAAATTTTCTTTAGAAGTTTTAATAAAGAATACTCAAATTGGACATTTGAATCTTCCACTCCCGACTATAAAAGGCTTTTAGAGGAACCATTCCAAATAAATTTATCACAATTAATGTGCTTAGGGTGTAAGCAATTGGAGCCAACTCGTGAGTTACTTGGGATGGCTTGCTAAATACTTGAACTCAATTTGAAGATTATTGAGTCGAGTCATGCTTGACTTGAGTCAAGTAGTTGAACTTCATTATACCCAACTCGAGTAGCTTGCGATCCTAATTGAGCTTTTAATAAAATATTATTTTTCAATACATTTTTATTTATAATGTAAATAAATATTAACTTTTTATATTAATTTATTTATAATATAAATAAATAAATTTATAATAAAGTCAAAGTTTTTTGGGTTTTTATAGGAAATTAAGTCATAATATTGATTTGTTTATAATTTTTAATATAAAATCAAGTTTTCTATATATTTTTTATTTAAGGTAAAATATAAAAACTCCCCTAAAGTTTCACTTTCACAAAAACCTCACCTATAATTTTACAGAAACCTATGTCCATCTTTATTTCCAGTAATGAAGACTTCCAAGTTACAAAATTACCCTTAAAACTTAGTAGGGCATCGTTCAATATAATTCAAAATACCAAATTTGTCATTCTAAACTTCATTAGACCTAACATTTTTATAAAGTAAAATTACTTTATTCTTTTCAATCTAACTCAACTAACGCATTAGGCCAATGTTTTCCATCTAGGATAATAAGAAAAGGGAGATAACTACAGGCTTTTTCAATACTATAGAGGAGGTTTTTATGAAAGTGAAACTTCAGGGGAAGTTTTTATATTTTATCCTTTTATTTATAATATTTTAAATATTAATTTATTTATAATTTTTAATAGCAATTTATTTATAATTGGCTCGAGTAGCTCGTGAGTATCGATTCAAGTCAAGCTCAAGTATAAAACTTAAAACTTGGTCGAGATGAAGTCGAGTTTCAAGCTCTAAGTTTTTGAATCAAGCTTGAGCTCAAGCCACCCAAAACTTGACTCAACTGGACTCAATCATACCCCTACGTGTGTTTGGAAATGTTAGTATTTAGAATATGATTGACTTCTATCTGACCAAATAGTTGATTTAATTTTCCTCAATCCCAAACACCTCCCAGAGAGTAAATCAAAACTTCAACAACCAATAGTTATTAGATTGCTTCGGTGTAGCAACAAGAGTGTAAAAAATCATTACCATTATGAGTCTAAAGAAAGATCCAAA